CGTAAATCTCTATTCATTGTATTCCTGTCATTTTTCTTCACATATTAGGAACACAGAAGTCACTGTCTACTGTTCTGGCAACAATCTATATTTCCTTCGTTTGACTCCACCCATCCCTGGCCAATATCTGAGGGTAAAACAGATTTTCCACAAATGTCATGATCCCTTTGGCCCTGTGCTGATTCCTGGCACCATATCCTGACTCTTATTAATTGTATCTACGAGCAACACACGAAGACCATTCACCGTATCAAACCAGCTGGTATTTAAAGCATGAAATGTGAAATTCAGTCTCAATGATCCCAAGAGTGTTGACTCCACTCCCGCTTACAAAACTGCATAAGCAAAGCTCAGCCAAATATCCCATAGCTCTTTCCGTAAGTTACACCACAATCCTTTCCACTCGTCATTCCTGTGAGCACTATTGCATATTGCTGTTGACTCTTGCAGGGTCTTCATTTCAAAATTCTTAAGCAGGTAATGACATCCCTTCATGGCATCAGACTCATTTTCCCAAATCTCTGCTAGATGTTCATGTTTAAACTGATTTCTCTCTGTTTTGTCTCAAACAGCGATTTTCACATCGGCACTCACCCACCTGGCTTTTTACCGGTGTATTCCAGATACAGAGATATTAAACCGTAGAACACTACTTCCAGTCATTCACAGCATGACCTGGAAATTTCCCATGCTAGAAAATTGCCTAGGGCAGGTATACCGAGCAATACAACGGTTTATGCCCATAAAGCTTCCATGCTGGGCAGATAGTCCAATTTACTCAACAGTACATTAGTGTGATTTACACAGCTTCTCGTGCCTGGTTTGGTCGTGTCTAGACTGGTTCTACGATGTAGATTCAGAATACGGTATAACTGATCATTTCAGATGATCTTGCAGTCTCATTATTTAATCTTCCCATTCTTGCAATTGGACTCTCTCAGGTCACAATCATCCAGTTAGTCCTAATACCCTGATTATTCACCATATTTCTGAAACTTGCTCTCCATGAAGTAATTGGCCTATTTTATTTTTAAAGTGAATTTCTGCCCTCGTTGTATCTTACCCCATTTTTGTTCTTTGGATCCTGTGTATAGACTGCTGCATTATGAAGCTCAGAAACAATGAAACTGAATCTGTTAGGGAGTCATTCACTTCATCAGCGGCATTGACTCACGTGTTTGAAACCTGCCCTGTTTCTGTCCGCTGAACGTCTGTGTTTGTCACCCAGCTGATCATGTGTTCAGCAACGTGCTGAAACCCCTCAATTGTCATTGAAATAGACCAAACAGCTAACTTGTAAGAAATAGGCACTTGAATTAATTCTATTAGTAGAAGGTTAGTGGAAGGACCGTGGCTGTTTTGCCAGAATTTGTGCTGTGAAATGCTGCAGGTATTCAGGAAGACCTGAGGATTTGATCATCCAATTCTGAATGAAGCACTGTAGTTACAATATGTCTGGGTTTGGAACATGAACAAAAAAAAATGGAGCAGAGACTGCAGAGGGTGAAAGCTCTGAGAACACGAAGTGAGAATATGCATGGAAAGGGATCTGCCACATCCAGCCCGGGTTTTCCAAGTACAGCTGACCAAGCTATAATTAACGCAGGGGCAGAATCTGAGGAGACTCTGGAAAGAAGCTCTGTGACCACCTCCGAGTTGAATCAAACAACATCAGAATTTAGTTTCCATTACTTCACATGAGTTCATTGTTGCAAGCTGTGAGAAGATAAGTCCCCAGAGCACTTCCACTTATCTCAGTGCAGAATAGCCTATGCCCTATCCTTAGACTGTGACAACTTGTTATTGTCTCGCTAATCATTCGAAAAATCTTTCCTCTGTTAACCTGTCCAGGCCTGTTTGCAATTTTACAAGCCCTGTGAGATTCCTTCTCATTCTTCTAAACGCGAGTGAATAGTCAATTCAGTCTCTCTTCATACGACTGTTCAGTCATGCCACAGGTCAGTGCAATAGCACCAAGATAATTGTATTTTTTACTCGAATCCTCTCGCTATGAAAGCCAACACGCCACTTGTCTTCTTCTCTGCCCGCTCACCTGCATGTGAACCTTCATTGACAGGTGTAGAAGGGCACTCAGGTCCTGTTGTACCTCCCACTTTATCAATCTATCGCAATTTAGATAATAACCTGCCTTTCTAATTTGCTAAAATGAATAACCTCACTTTTATCCACATTATATATTATCTGCTGTACATTTGTCCAATCACTCAACTTGCCCAAATCATACTGAAACCTTTCTGCATAATCTTGACAGCTCACCATCCCAACCAACTTCATGTTGTCTGCACTCCTAGAGACCAGACGTTAAGTTCCCTCATGTAAATCATTAACATGCATTATGAATAGGTGAGGTCCAATCATTGATCCCTGTGCTACCTGACCAGTCACTGCCTGCCACTCAAAAGAAAACCTATTTATTCCTGTTCTTTTCCATGGACTTCCTACTGGTACTTTCTTCATACCAGTGCACTAATCTTAATTCCACGTGCTTTAAATTTACATGCTAATCTGTGTTTAGAAGCTTGTCTAAAGCCTTCTGAAGGTACAATTTAACCCCCTACGCTTGTTCCTCTGATCAATTCTATTAGTTACTTCCATGAAAGCTTCCAGTAAGTTTCAAACATGACTTACTTTTCATAAATTCGTGCTGACTCTGCATGATCGCATCACTGTTTTCCAAGTGCTCTGCTACTAAATACTTGTCAACACACTTCATCATTTTCCCCATTTGCGGTGTCAGGAAAACCAGTTAATAATTCCCTAGAACTTTTTTTTAGGCAGCCGTGTTCTATTTCTCAACCTCCAATCCATAGGAACTTTTCCAGGTTTTATCGAATCTTGAAAGACTTCACAATTTCCAGGGTCTTTTCCTTAAGTGCTCTTTGAAGCAACTTCGAGGATTATTAGTATTTATTCTCATCATCAAGTTCTCCATCACCACTTCCTTAGTAATTATTAATGTCCTCTCCCATCACGGAACCTTTGTTATCCAACAATTTTAGTATGTTTTAACGTGTCTTTCATAGCGAAGACAAAGTCAAAATATCATGTGGAGATGAAAAAAAAATGAATTGATGGAATAAACACCTTCACAATAAGTAGCCTGTGAGATGAAGGTTAATCATTACTCAAAATAAAGGCGATAATTACGCTATAAATGCTGGAGTAATTGTGATTGATTTAACTGCACAAAATTTTCACGAATCCAATTGTAAACGGTGGGGTTAAGAATAGAGACAACAAGGTGCAGGGCTGGATGAACACAGCAGGCCAAGCAGCATCATAGGAGCAGAGAGGCTGACGTTTCGGGCCTAGACCCTTCCAATCCCCTCCCTAACTCCCCACCTACACTCACCTTTACTGACCCCATCCCCGCCTCTTCGACCTGTTTGTTTCCTCTCCACCTATCCTCTCCTCTATCCTTCTTCTATCCGCCTCCCACTCTCTCCCTATTTATTTCAGAACCCCCTTCCCCTCCCCCTTTTCTGATGAAGGGTCTAGGCCCGAAACGTCAGCCTCTCTGCTCCTATGATGCTGCTTGGCCTGCTGTGTTCATCCAGCCCTGCACCTTGTTGTCTCAGATTCTCCAGCATCTGCAGTTCCTACTATCTCTGATTCGGGTTAAGAATAGATTTTTCTTTCAATTCATTTGTGGGATGTGGGAGTCATTGGCAGGCCAGAATTTAGTGTCCGTTCCTAATTGCCCTTGAGAAGGTCGTGACAAGCCGTCTTCTTGAACCGCTGCAGTATACTTGCAGTGTGTTAAGCGAAAATGCCATTCGGAAGAGAATTCCAGTGTTTTGACACAGTGATACTGAAGGAACGATGTTTTTTTTTCCCTTTATTCATTCACGGGATGCGAGCATTGCTGGCCAGGCACCATTTATTGCCCATCCCTAACTTCGCAGAGGGCAGTTCAGAGTCAACCGCGTTGCTGTGGGTCTGGAGTCACCATAGGCCAGACCAGGTAAGGATGGCAGTTTCCTTCCATGAAGGACATCAGTGAACCAGATGGGCTTTTTCTGACAATTCACAATGGATTCATGGTCATCATTGGATTCTTAATTCCAGATAAGTATGGAATTCAAGTTCTTCCATCTGCCATTGCATAACTCGAACCTAATTCCCCATTATCTGGGTCCATAGATTAACAGTCCACCTATAACAGCACAAAGCTATCGCCTCCCCACTTTGAGGTGTTTGAGGGGTATTGAAAGTGGTGATGTGTCTGTGTATCTGCTGCCCTTGTACTTCCAGATGGATGTGGTTGTGGCTTTAGAAGGTGCTGTCTGAGGATATTTGGTAAGTTTCTGCAGTACATCTTTAGATAGTACACACTGCTGCTACTGAGCATTGGTGATTGAGGGACTGTGTGTTTTGTGGATGAGGTGCCAATCAAGCGGGATGCTTTGTCCTGGATAGTGTCAAGCTCCTTGAGTGTTGTTGGAGCTGCACCATGCAGGGAAGTGGGGCGTATTCTGTCACACTTTGAATTGTGCCTTGCACTGATACACAGCCTTTGGAAACTCAGATGGTGGGTTATTCGAGCGTTGTTTCTGACCTCTGACCTGCTCTTGTAGCCCAATGATTATGAGGCGAGTCCTGTTAAGTTTCTGGTCAATGGTAATGCCAGGATGTTGATCTTGGGCGATTTAGTGATGGTGACTCCATTGAATGTTATGGAGCTGTGGTTATATTGTCTCTTATTGGTTATGGTCATAGTGTGGCATTTGTGTGGCGTGAATACCACTTTCCACTTGTCAGCCCAAGTCTGGATATTGCCCAGATCTTGTGCATTTGAACATGGACTGTTTCAGTATCTGAGGAATTGCGAATGGTGCTGAACATTGCACAATCATCGGTGAACATTCTCACTTCTGACCTTATGATGGATGGAAGTTCATTGATGAAGTATCTGAAGATGGTTGGGCATAAGACGCTATCCTGAGGAACTCCTCCAGCAATGTCCTGAACCTGAGGAGATGACTAAGCTCCAAGAACTACGACCATCTTCCTCTTTGATCAGCGGCGGGAGTCGGGAGAGAGTGCGAGGGGACTGCTGGGAAGGTAAGCGGCGAATATAATAACTTACTTCGGGGCCTTCATTATTGGTGGAGGAGGAGACTGGGAGCAAGAGGATCCCTGGAAAATATAGTTTGGGTGGAATCAAAACCCGAGACCCCACAAAAGTGGTGTCTCCCACCCTTCCACCTTCTCTAACCCAAGAATAAAAGGGTAAGTAAGTTATTCTGTACTTCTTACAAATCTTTCGGGGAAGTTTAAATTTAGAGGGGATGGTAGTCAGGGCAGTGCAATGTTCCTCCTGCAGGATGTGGGAGGTAAGAGTTAACAACAGTGACTCTGCTGACTTCACCTGTGGGAAGTACACCCAGCTCCAGCTCCTCAAAAACAGCGTTAGGGAACTGGAGCTGGAGCTGGATGAACACAGGATCATTCGGGAGGCTGAGGTGGTGATAGAAACAAGCTACAGGGACATAGTTACCCCTAAGAACGAAGGCAGTTGGGTGACAGTAAGGAAGGGGAAGGGTAGGAAACAGTCAGGGCAGGGATCCCCTCTGGTCGTTCCTCTCACCAATAAGTGTTTTATTTTGGATACTGTGGGGGTGGGGGTGCATACAAGGGGTAAAAAACAGAGACCCGGTCTCTGGTACAGGGTCTGGCTCTGTGACTCAGAAGGGAAAGGGGGAGAATAGGACAGCAATTGTAATGGGAATTCAATAGTTAGAGGTACAAACAGGAGGTTCTGTGAATGCGAACGAGATGAACGGATGATATGCTGCCTCCCGGGTGCCAGGGTCTGTGATGTCTCCGATCATGTCTTCAAGATCCTTAAGGGGGAGAGTGAGCAACCAGCAGTCATGGTACACATCGGTACCAATAACATAGGTAGAAAAAGGACTGAGAATGTGAAAAACAAGTACAGGGAGTTAGGGTGGAAGCTGAAGTCCAAAACAAACAGGGTAATTATCTCTGGATTACTACCAGTGCCACATGATAACCAAGTAAGAAATAGGGAGAGAGTGCAGCTAACCTCGTGGCTGAAGCTGGTGTAGGAGGGAGGGCTTCCATTATGTCGATAATTGGAGCACATTCTGGGGAAGTTGGGACCTGTACAGAAAGGATGGGTTGCAACTGAACCGGAAGGGCACAAATATCCCAGGAGGGAGGTTTGCTCTTTCTATACGGGATGGTTTAAACTAGATTGGCAGGGTGTGGGGGAGCGGATTTGTAATTCAGAGAATGAGGTATTCAGCCTTCCAAGAAACACAACAGGGAGTGAGGTTGTTAACAAAGAAATGTGGTCGATGGAGTGTAATTGTGGACACAGGGATGGTTTGAAGTGTGTATACTTCAATACTAGAAGTATCAGAAATAAGGCGGATGAACTTAGAGCATGGGTCAGTACTTGGAACTACGCTGTTGTGGCCATTACAAAAGCTTGGGTAAGTCAGGGTCAGGAATGGCTGTTGGAAGTTCCGGGATTTAGATGCTTCAAAAGAAATAGGGACGGTGGTAAAAGAGGCGGGGGAGTGGCATTGCTAGTCAGGGCTATTACAGCAGCTACTGAAAGGCAGTTCGAGAATGATATGCCGACAGAGTCAGTTGGGTTGAAGTCAGGAACAAGAAAGGAGCAGTCACTTTATTGGGTTTTTTTTTTAACAGGCCCCCTAACAGTTGCAGATAAGTGGTGGAGCGGATTGGGAGGCAGTTACTGGAAAGGTGCAGAAGTCACAGTGTTGTAGTCATGGGTGACTTCAACTTTACAAATATTGATTGGAAACAGTTTAGTTCTAATAGTTTAGATGGAGCGGATTTTGCCCAGTGTGTTCAGGAAGGATCGACCAACACGAGGAGAGGCCAATTTGGATTTGGTGCTTGGCAATGAACCAGGCCAAATGTTAGACCTGATGGTAGGAGAGCATTTTGACGGTAGCAATCATAACTCTGTTACTTTTACAATAGTCATGGAAAAGGATAGGTACCTACAGCAGGGTAAGGTTTATAATTGGGGGAAGGGTAATTACAACTCTGTTAGGCAAGAACTGGGTAACATAAAATGGAAACAGATGCTGTCAAGGAAGAGCACTATAGAAATGTGGAGATTGTTTAAGGAATGCATACTGCGTGTGTTCGATATGTTTGTCGCGAGCAGGCAGGAAAGATGCGGTCGAGTGAGAGAGCCTTAGTTCTCAAGAGAGGGCGAACAATTAGTTAAGAGGAAGAAGGATGCTTATATAAGGTTTAGGAGACAAGGAATGGAAAAGGCTCTAGAGGGATACAAGTTAGCCAGGAACGAGCTGAAGAAAGGGCTTAGGCGAGCTATAAGGGGGCATGAGAAAACCTTGACAGACAGGATCAAGGAAAACCCCAAGGCTTTTTACATATTCGTGAGGAATAAGCAAATGACCAGAGAAAGGGTAGGGCCGATCAAGGATTGTAAAGGGAATTTGCCTACAGAGCCTAAAGAGATAGGAGAGGCCCTTAATGAATACTTTTCTTCGGTATTCACAACTGGGAGGGACCCAGTTGTAGACGAGGACAGTGTGAAACAGGCTGGTAGGCGAGAGGAGGTGGATATTAGAAAGGAAGATATACTAGGAATCTTGAGGAACTTGAAGATAGATAAGTCGCCCGGGCCTGATGGGATTTATCCAAGGATTCCATGGGAAGCAAGGAAAGAGATCGCAGGGCCTTTGGCGATGACCTTTTCGTCCTCAATGTCCACAGGTATAATGCCAGAAGATTAGAGAGTGGCAAACGTCATTTCCTTGTTCAAAAAAGTGAATAGGGATAACCCCGGAAATTACAGGCCAGTTAGTCTTACTTCAGTGGTGGGCAAATTATTGGAAAGGGCTCTGAGAGATAGGATTTATGATCACTTGAATAGACACAGTTTGATTTGTGATAGTCAGCGTGGATTTGTGAGGGGTAGATCATGCCTCACAAACCTTAGTGGATTCATTGAAGAGGTGTCCAAACACATGGATGAAGGTAGAGCAGTGGATGTGGTATACATGCATTTAAGTAAGGCGTTTGATAAGGTTCCCCATGGTAGGCTCATGCATAAAGTAATGAGGCATGGGGTAGGGGGAAATGTGGCAGATTGGATTCAGAATTGGCTGACCCTTAGAAGACAAAGCGTGGTAGTGGATGGAAAATATTCAACATGGTGCTCAGATATGAGTGGTGTACCACAAGGATCTGTTCTGGGTCCTCTTCTGTTTGTGATTTTTGTAAATGATTTGCATGTAGGAGTGGAATGGTGGATTAATAAGTCCCACGACGATACGAAGGTGGGTCGAATTGTAAATAGTGCGTAGGGCTGTTCTAGGTTACAAAGGGACATTGATAGGATGCAGAGCTGGGCTGGGAGGTGGCAGATGGAGTTTAACTCTGAAAAGTGTGAGGTGATTCATTTTGGAAGGACAAACTTGAAAGCAGAATACAGGGTTAACGGAAAGATTCTTGGCAGTGTGGAAGAGCAGCAGGATCTCGGGGTTCATGCCCACAGTTCCCTGAAAGCAGCCACCCAGGTGGATAGAGTTGTTGAGAAGGCGTATGGTGTGTTAGCATTCATTAATCAAGGGATTGAGTTCAAGAGCCGTGAAGATATGCTCCAGCTGTACCAAAGCCTGGTTCGGCCACATCTGGGGTATTGTGTCCAGTTCTAGTCACCTCATTACAGAAAAGATGTGGAAGCGTTGGAAAAGGTGTAGAGGAGATTTACCAGGATGTTGCCTGGAATGGAAGGAAGGTCTTACGAGGAAAGGTTGAGAGAGCTAGGGCTTTTCTCTTTAGAATGACGAAGGACGAGAAGTGACTTGATAGAGGTGTACAAAATGATCAGACGTATAGGTAGAGTGGATCGTCAGAGACTTTTTCCTAGGGTGGATGTAGCTATTATGAGGGGGCATAGTTTTAAACTGAGTGGAGGTAGATATAGGGGAGACGTCAGAGGTAGGTTCTTTACTCAGAGAGTGGTAGGAGTGTGGAATACATTGCCGGAGAGGGTAGTTGACTCAGCCTCATTAGGGGCATTTAAGCGGCAATTAGATAGGCATATGGATGACAGTATAAGGTAAGGGTGGAGGTTAGATAGACCTTATGTTTAGGGTAAAAGTCTGGCACAACATCATGGGCCGAAGGGCCTGTACTGTGTTGTACAGCTCTGTGTTCTATGTTTATGCTAGGTATGTCTCCAGTCACCAGAAAGTTTGCCCCTGATATCCATTGATTTCAGTTTTGCAAGGGCTTTTTGATGCCACACTCAGATAGTTTTGAATTGAGGAAACTTTCATTGAAAATTCTTTTCTGAAAATATTAGCGAAGTTATTTTAGAGCTGGGAAAAATATTGTGGAGGGATAAGTCATAACTCCATAATAGAGACAGAAATGAATATAATGTGCTTTAGTATCATATCCCAATCCACTTTGGAATGGTTTGAACTCAGTTAAGCATAAAAGAAATATTACAGCAGTCTGTCGATGAGGTAGCAAATGTCTAATATGAAAACACAAAGGCAGAGAAGAAATGGAAACATTCAAGGAAATATTCAATTAATCTTCAGGAAGATGTAGGAGATGTAAATTAGATTCTGACATGAAACTAACAATAAATCAGAAAATGGAGAATCAAAATTGGAAGATGATATTGTTTTGTTAAATGCAGAGTGGCTAAAATAAAATGTTATTCTTTACATCGGTTGTAAATATACTTCTACCCCATGCCTCAAGAGAGTAAATTTTACCAAAAATGATGAGCACACCTGGTGTTAGAGTTCATTTATATACATGTACCGAGGATTGTTTAACAAGCATTGAACACATAGACCTACTAATGATGTCAAAAGCACCTTGAGAAGAAGTAAAGTACTCCATGCCGTGAATCTTGTGGGATTCTGATGGAACTTCACTGAAAAAAAAGTGCTGAGTTGATGCATCTTGACTTTGGGAATGGTCCATTTTCATTTCCTGTAGGTGATAGGCTTACAATTAAAACGGTGACTGTTGTATTTCATGTGTTTGCACAGAAATAATCGTGAAGGCGGGATGGCAGGGTGGAATTGATTTTGCTTGTGCTGCAATAGCTCAATCTAGAATCACTGTGCATTCAACTAACTGTCACTTGTCTGTTTGTCACTAATGACCATGACAGGTGGCAAGCAGAGTCACGAAGGGACAAGTAAATACAGAATTGCAAATCAAATAAACAAAGCAATAAATAAAAAAACGCTGAGATGTGACTCGCCGAAGAAAATGCGGACAGTAGTGCCAGAGAGGATGATTGGGGTCTTTGAAGACACTAATAATAATCAGTCACAGGGTTCAGTATAACTGTGCAATTATACAAACAATTCGAGTTTCTCGACAGTATATTTTATCAGTGTATTACTATTGTTTCTGAAAAAGTTTAATGTTAATCATCGCATATTTAACATAGTGATGAAGACGAAATTCACCTCTCAGAGGTTAGTGAATCTATGCAACTCTTTAACACAGAGGGTTACCAAAGTTAGAGGTTGAGTTATGTATCTACCCCAACAGCAATGAGAGAACAGGTTCAGAAAGATAAAATAATGTTTGGGATTTTTTTTTTGCTTGTGAGATGGTTCCAGTGCACAGATTCAATACAGATGTATTTTCTTTGTCCTCGAAAGGTCAAGTTTGCTCACCTTGTCTTTCCTTTTTTTCATAGCCAACTTATCAGCATTTGTGATCCTGTCCCGGGGAAAGTGCGGACTTTCCACTTGTACCACTCACTACCTGGTGGCCATGTCAGTCACGGATCTGCTGGTTGTTATCACCGAGGTCATACTCCGCCGAATCAACAATTATTATTTTCCATTAAATGTCCTGAAGCTCACCTCTGTGTGTCGACCTCTCTATGTTATGATCCGTGCAGCCATTGACTGTTCGGTCTGGTTCACTGTCACTTTCACCTTTGACCGATTTGTTGCCATTTCTTGCCAAAAGCTGAAATTGAAATATTGTACCAAGAAAACTTCAACTGTGGTTCTTGCAATAACTAGTATTCTCCTATGTTTAAAAAACATTCCCATCTACTTCAGATATAAACCTAAATGGGTAATCAACAATGTGGAGTGGCGCTGCTCGAATCAGCAAAACTACTTTAGAGATCCCAGGTGGACAGGATTTAGGATTTTTGAAAAGGTTTTAACACCATTATTACCATTTGGTTTAATTCTGTTGCTTAACGCTATGACAATCAGACACATTTTAATGGCCATTCGAGTCCGTAAGGGACTGAAGGGGCAAAAAAAAGACGAGAAACGCAGCGACCAGGAGATGGAGAGCAGAAGGAAGTCCATGATTTTACTCTTTACCATATCGGGCACCTTCATCCTCCTGTGGCTTGTTTACATTATATATATATTTGATTTTGATGATTCCGTAATCGATCCTCGTGGGATGTTTGAAGTGATTGCTTATATGCTGAGAAATTTAAGTTGCTGCACAAACACGTTTATTTATGTGGCTACTCAGTCCAAGTTCAGAGATCAGTTGAAAAGGATGTTGAAGTATCCTCTAACGTCTATTCATAAATTCATGAATAGTCAAAACAACTGAGAGCAGTACAAAGATCCTGGTGGCAATGGAAATGTGATAACACTCGGGTTACAAATAAGAAGTTCCAAATGGCTCTAACTAACGTGGATAAAAGGGATGTACGGGAGCACAGTTAATAAGTCTGAACTATGGTTCAGCAGCATCGAAGAAAACTGGGTAAAGAAGAAGCATTGCCAATCAGAGGACAAGAAGGGTGTGAACAGAGTGAAACCATATATCAAAGAGCTAGCACTCAAGGGTTAAAAGCTCACTCCGGAGCAACAGCGTTTAAAAACAATATGAGTCGGAGCACCACACAACGGTGGGACAGATGCAAGCAAAGTCACGAGGAGACCAGTAAATACTGAATCGCGTATCAAATAAACAAAACAACAAATAAAGAAACGCTAAGATGTGACTCTCGGAAGAGAATGCGAACACGAGTGCCAGGGAGAATGACTGGGGTCTTTGAAGGGACTAATAAGAATCAGTCACACATTTTAGTCTATTATCCTCACAGTTGTGCTGTTACAAAAACAATTGGAGTTTCTCGACAGCATATTCTATCAGTGTATTACTATTGTTTTTGAAAAACTTTATTGTTAGTAATCGCATAATTAACTCAGAGATGAAGAGGAAATTCACCTCTCAGAGGTTAGTGAATCTGTGCAACTCTTTAGCACAGAGGGTTGATAAAATTAGAACAGTATGTATAATCAAGGCTAAGGTAGACAAAATGTTAAATATTAAGGGACTAAATGGCTATGGGTAAAAAGACAGAAAGTTGATTTAAGGATTATCAGATCAATTTGATTAATAGAGAAGCAAACTCAATTGACTTTATGGCATAATTCTGCGCTATGTCAAATGGTTTATCGTCATTCATTCCATGAATACCACTCTCCACTATTCGTACTCCGCTTTCTCTGTTTCTATCAATGATTAACTCAATGGTTCTTCTTTATCTGATTCATTTAACACAAATCCTACGACAAATAGATTCCTATGCAAATAGGCATCTGGAAGATCTCGAGAAACCATGGACTTGATGTTAAAAAACATGATTTTTTTTTAACAATTCAGTAATTATACCAAACGTTTCAATATCTGTTAAATCACTTATGCTTTGCAATCCTCTCCTCTTCCTATCAATAACATCTTCCAGATGCGAGGACAATCCCTATCACAGTGAACTGCATAAGGCCATGCAACTCTGCTGTCATGCAAACATGTTCAATCACAAAACACTCTCTATTTCAGTAGCATCCAAATATAACTTGCACTATCTCCAGATTATTCTCCATATTCATCTTGCTAATTAATAAGCTGTCATAACTTTTACAATCTTCAATAATACTGTAATGTAGTCCAGGCCTTGCAGCCCTCCGTATCTTTGTAATTAACTTTAGCCCCTAAAACACCGATCACTTGGGAATGTTGCCCAGAAACATAAACTCTCCCTAACTTTGTGACCTCATCTAAACCCTATAGTCCTTTGTAACATTGTAAGCTGGTCGAGATTTATCAAACTTCCTTTACCTTGCATCATTCTCCAGAACACCACAATTCTCCCTCTCTTTGTATCCTAATTCAGATTTTTAATGTTCCCTGTCTCTGTAACCTCTCTGTGTCCTTCAACACTCACCATCAACAGGACTTCCTCCAGTACATGTAAAATTTTCATACTGAAGGGTGAAATGTTAGAAAGTAAAATAAAAGACAACAAAAGTCCAACACTGCAAGGGATAACAAGGATGTATTAGTTAAAATAAAATAACACACAACGTGAAAATGCTGCATTTACAGAGAGGCCAAATGTCCGAGAGCAGGAAATGAATGCACAAGGAATGACCTTTTCACTTTCCTGTACTAGACAGTCATGAAAGCAAAGCGGACTCAACGTTTGTTGAGATCAGGTGCAATCCAGCATGTAGGACTCCAAAAGATAATGCAGGGTCTACATACACCGTCATGATTGAACTCAGAATACTGGTGTTAAGAGCCAACACATGGACTACGCTAAATTCCATACAAATTTTTGACGACAACGGTCAGGCTTACACCTTCTGACCAAGTGGGATATGACATGCTATTTAGTGAGAGCTAATTAGAGAATTAGGTATTTAAAGTCCAATGTAATGCAATTTGAAAAATACATCAACTTGCTACTGGTTTGAGGGAGCATACATTTTGTTTTGAATAGGTCTATCCCATTTCACTGTAGCCAGTTTGTTCTCTGAAACAGCTTGATGTCCTTAACAAGCATATTTAAATCATTTTGTTTGCAGTTCAATGATTGGTGAATTGTCTGCCCATAATGGAGCGCGCAGTTCTATGTTTTGTATAAAAATCACAACTTATGTTCGCTCAGTGGAGAATCTTTTCTGTACTGCTCCCCGCTTTCCTATGAATTTAACATATATATCTTAAACACCAACTGCTAATTGTTTTCTCTGCTATTTAACACTGGCCACTTGGCCTTTTAGTTTGCGTCAGAGACAGGATCTAAAAGACGCAGGAGACCCAACGGGAAGTGGCCATGCGACTCTTCTTTTATTAATTCTGAAGTAGACTCAGTACATCGTAGGTGCCCCAATAATATTCCACCCGAATATTATCCTTGGTATCCATCGAGAGTAAAGTTTTCAGTATGAAGAAAGGCCAAAGTTAGAATCATTCTGCTGATGACAAATAGCCCTACAGGCCTCTCTAAGTGGTCGAATGGAAGAGAAGTCGAGTAGGGACCAGAAATGTCACTACATTGCTGGTTGACAAAAATAAAAAAATTACGGAGAGAAAAATGTTTTAAGAGCATCTGGAATCCATTTGAAACCCCCTTGTAACAGGGTATGCGTTAGGACAAAGAAAAAAAAGATAACAATGAAAAAAAAGCATGGACGTTTATGTTAAGGCAGAGCGAACAAATGATTAAATGATTGAATATTGCATTAAGAAACAAGCATCAGGAATTTAAAATGAAACAGACAACCTCACGGAGAAGAAGAGATAGTAGGAACTGCAGATGCTGGAGAATCCGAGACAACAAGGTGCAAGGCTGGATGAACACAGCAGGCCAAGCAGCATCATA